ATATACTTTTTATATTACCAGTACTAGTAGTTTATTGACTATCACGCACTGCAACAGTGCGATGCGAACCCTTGTTAATTAGTACTAAATTCGTTTTATTCGTAAATTGAGATCACCCTTTCTGTTCTTGGTTTTGCGTGACAACGTCGCGCAACTACTTATTTAATATTCTCACTTTAATACACTGTATTGTATTAAATTGTTTACATTAGTTTCTATATTAAGTACGGTATATTTTGCTAGATCGATTACAAATTGCTTAATATTTGTATCAAATCGTATAAATTAAATAATGTGTAATTTGGTATATGTACCATTACACACGTTACAATTATCTAAATAGTTGCTTAAGTTTTTATCTAACAATAACCCATACTTGCACTCAATAAGATGTTTTTTAATTTTTTTTATATTTTCAATTTTATCTTAAATATTATTTTTACTTATGCTATTTTCATTCCAACTGGTGGAGAATATCATTCATCAGTACTTATTTATAAAAAACTTTATTTTCATGGTGGAATTAATTCTGTTTCTGGCGTTTTAAATGAATTTTTTTATTTGGATCTCTCCAAATCATTTATAACAACTGATATAAACTCAATACCATGGGTTGACCTTACTTATGCCGGTGGTCCCTGGAAGTCTCAAGCTGCAGCCTGTAATGGTGGGAAAGATAATAACATGATTTTTATCTTTGGTGGTTATCCATAATTTCAACCATTCGTTAATCAATTCGATATAAGTAAACAGCAGTGGACTAATATTACATCTACTGGGAGTGCACCTATATATAGATATTATATTTCATGTTCTAAATTTAATAATGATTCAATTTCCATTTTTAGTGGTTACAATATTAGTACTCCAATCTCCAATGATCTTTGGATATTTAATACATTAACATTATCGTGGAGTTGAAGTAATGCAACAAATCCACCGCCATCTCGAGTTAGTTATTGTGCAATAACTTTGCCTAATGACATATTGGTGGGATTAGTCCTAATTTATCAACATACATGCCAATGAATTATGTAAGTTCTACTTATTCTTTTTTTTTGATAATTGATATTTTAGCCTTTTATTCATTCGTGCTTTTTGTAGTTACCGGTATATGATACGAAATCTGATACCTGGACAAATGTGGTATATGATGAATAAATGTAATTTTTATTTATACTAATAATTAAGAATCCAATATATTATTAGAATGTATCCGACCCAACACCTCTTGTTCGTTTTGGTTTCTCTGCAGTATTAGTAGGTTGTTAAGCAATGCAATTAGATATTTTAAATAATAATATTCTCCTATTAATCATTTAAACTACAAGCTCTCGATGGGCGTATTATAATGTTTGGAGGTACGGAACTTGGTGATCTGTGGATCCTAGACATTGCCAAGTTCCAATGGTCAATTGGAACCATTTTAAATCCAATTGTAAATCTAAATCCACACGGGCATACTGCAACATTAGTGGATAATTATATGATTGTTGCTTTTGGTAAAATTTTTTTATACTTGCCAATAGAGATTTTTCTTCTAAACTTACTAAATATTTATTTATTCATTAGGCACATTTTTAAATGGTAGTCATTTATCAAGATTATTTATATTAGATGTAAGTAAAAAAGATTCCTATAGATGGGTTACTGAATTTACTTCGAATATCACAACTACTACAAGCACTACGACTACTTCTACTCCAAGTAATATAATTGTTTCAAACTCTAGTTTAATTATTATTATAATCGTCTGTGCTGTCATTTTTTTAACAATATTTGTAATATTAATTGTTGTTACGCTAAGATTTATTGACCAATATAAATAAAATAATGTATTAAGTTCTCTTTCATAATAAAGTTGTGCGAAAGGGATGAGTGCTAAACTCGAAACCTCATGTGTTCGGTAGGTGGGAATTTTATCAGAAGTCGAGAAGCATTTCGAGTGTTTGAGAACGTTCAAAAGAAATATATATTTCTAGAACTTATGATTAAAAGGACATACTTTTGCACAAATTATTAAACATACATGACCCTCGTTATATCAACCTAAATTTCTATATATCAAAATTCCCTCACTTTACTATGATCCCTCACTAATATCACTATCAACATGAATATAAGAGTGATCCAAATAGGTTGATATTAGCGAGAGTCAAGTGTACAAGTTCTATGGAACGGGCATATTTCTGCATGATCTATTATTATGTTGGCCGAAAACCCTTTGTTAGGGTTGTTAATGGAGTACTCCAAGCTATAATAAAACATATAAACCACTCCAGTTTAAAACTGGAGTGGTTTATATGTTTTATTATAGCTTGGAGTACTCCATTAACAACCCTACCCTTTGTATATTCTATCATTAACATGTTTATTTTTGCAAAGTGAATATAACGCGTAATCAGCCTAACGGGAACCTTTTACATAATAAGAAATAACAGTTCTTATCTACCTATTTATTTCTATTATAACAATTTTTTAACCATTGTTTGTCCAATCCCCCTCCAAATTCATTAACGTGATTACTAAAGCATTAGACATTTCTCACCTAAAAGTTAATATAACAAATATTATATATTGTATCTTGCAATCGGAATGATTATTTTAAAAATCCAGACATACAACTAAGGTATGAATATTTTGTTACGCCAAGTATATTTCAGTAAATCAATTTCTGTGCTTGCTAATTCATACACAAATTTCCGAAAAATTAATTTAGTACCACAATGCAAGTTTTGTCTTTTTTTCTATCAGGATTGAAAGATAAAAGTGTTTCATAACATAGGCAAAAGTTTGTTTGAGACAACACAAACATTATGTTTGGCTTCAAAGAGTCTATAAAATTAACTCTAAAATTAATCTTTTATGATCTCATTCGGAAAAGTTAACTCAGAAACAACTTTCTGAAAAAAAAGCTTCGTCCGAATTTAACATACACTAAAAGAAAAAATAGTTACTAACCGCTTTATCTAGCTTTTTTTTTTAGACAAGTTTGTTAGCGGTATTCATGAGATATTCATATTTATCTTCAAGATACTTTTGTGTCAGTTTAAAAGTTGCCAACCATTTAATGTTTAGTCTATATCAAAATGAATTCACTAGATCATATCCTTTCCTTAAGCTGAAATTCCAACATCTTTATTTTCACTTACCATCTTTTCTGATACCAAATATAAGAGTGTTATATCTGATCATACCTACAAATCACTCGAAGTTATCTAGCTGAGAAAAAAATTTTCACTATAGCTTATTTCAAGAGGATGCTATATTAAATTGAAGTTCAACTTTTTGTAAAGCAAAAAATATGATAGTCATCTTTCAATAAAAATATATAAACATCATTAATATGCTAAATTTATTTTTATCTTTATATAAACCTTATTAATCTTTGCTATAGATTAACACCCTAGCGTCACCACCCTAAAAATTTCGAATTAACATAAAATCAAAACAAGAATACCCAAATCCTAACCCTAACGCTGATAGCAAAAATTTTTTAGGGTGGTGATACTAAGGTCTTACATTGATCAGATTGGTTGCCGTTATTATTCGTCGAATTCTCTTTGCTTATTTCTTTGATATCATTTTGAGAACCTCCATTTTCTTCACTAATAACTTCTTTAGTCGACACGGTAATTTTGCATTCTTTAAGATCTTCACAACTATTATTACCGATACTTCCCTTCTTAATTAAATCACTTTTGCAACAGTTCCCATTAAAATCACTACTTGTTGCCCAAATAATCATTCCTGCACCCTCTTTTGCGAATAATATACTTAAAATTAAAGCTACAGCAGAATCTACCCACCAACCATTTTTCCAAACCGTGTAAATTAAACTACCAAAAAACACAATAAGTGTTATTTGAATACAGGATAGAGCGCATTTAGCATCAGATGCCATTGTAAAAGAATTGAGTAATTTAGCGGCATAGACCTTTATAAGCCAAATAAAACTCATAATAAATAAGGAAATAGAAGTAACTATTAAACCTACTACAGTAGAATTTGGCATTCTGTGTTTAACTAAAGCGATGATCGCATTAACAAATGTCCCACTTGCAAGTATAATAAATAATGAACCTATACCAATAGTGGCTTTTTTTTCAATATTAATTAATTTGATCGTAGATGTTTCTTTAAGATTTCGTTCTCTTGAAAACCTCCATATTACTAAACACGATGAGGTAACTTCGACGAAAGAATTTATACCAAAAAAAATTAAACTAATTGATTCATTTTCTGCACCAAATAATATTGAAACGGTTCCTTCAATTATATTAAAGCAAATTGTAAAAATTGATATGGTTATTGCTGCTTTAATAAGGGTTGTACGAGAAATTGGTTTAACTTTCGTTGATAATTTCATTTTTTTTTCTTAAAAAAAAAAAAAAGAAAGAATAGAATGTTTACAATTCAATTTGTCTAGATAAACTAGATGTTTGTTTAACAATCCATGACCGCATCTAATTCCTGCCGATTCTTGATTCGATTTCCTGAAAGCCACTTTTATCAACAATCATTTCATCTTTGGGAACAACATTTGTCTATCTCTAGGAAACGATTATCGATAAAAAATGACTTTCAGTTACAGTTATTTCCGCATACTGATAGGCACATATGTACGTATGTATGCACGCGACAAGAAGACAAACTTAAAACCAGGTGCACTGACCTTAGATCTATTAATATCACATTATTCAAAGGGATATTATATAAACTTAATCTAAACAAATTCGATGCCGTCACTAAGGAATCTTTTAAAGCTTAGTAATTTGTTCTAACGCTAAATGATTATTTTCCGATCAATAAAAATTATTTCCAAAGTGATTTCCAATAGAAAAGTATGTTGACAAAAAATTGGGATAATCGAAAATCGCTGATCAAGTTGGCAACTAATCGACCTAAAATTTCGAAGCAACTAACCTCGTTGAGTGATTAACTATTACGTATTCAACAAACTTTATTCAATAAACTTTAGAAAAGAAATTTTTAACCAATTAAATTAATACAAATAAATCATGTGATTATAGAGTTATATCTAATTCCGGTAGTTATTTATCTCAAACTGCACTGTTTATGTTTATATAAGATTACTGTATGTAGATTTCTGAAACAGAATTTTTTATTCGTTTTTAAACAAATTATTATGAACTATCTACGTAAGATTAAAAAAAATTGTTGAAAATACGCATGCTCATGTGTTAAAAATAACGATAAAAACCAAAGAAAATGTAATTGATATAGAAAATGTTACAGCCACAGTCTGGGTCCCACGTTTTAGAGTACACTTATCGTAATGTAACGGTAAATGATACGATAAAAAAAGTTAGCTTAGCCGGCTTAGCAACTAGAGATCTGCAAATGCCCATACCGGGAACACCTGTAGATCACCCACAAAAAATTTTCCGGCACGTGACTAAGCCACTTCACTAATTTCTGCTAACGTTGAGGTGAAC